ATGCGCGGCGCGACGACTACCGCCCTTTAATGTAATGTTCGGTTTATGGATCAGTTACTATCGAATGACACATAACTGCATATGAATATACACACCAACAATATGCTGTTTTTAAAAATCTCAATAGTAATAGGGGGAATCATTGGAAAAAGGAAATATATAGGAAATATATTAAATATGATGATTTGGAAATCACATCTATGCATTAAAAGTCTCTGTAGTTCTGGGGCAGATTTTTTTTTCTTCGATGAATCTTCTGTATTCTTTCACCAGGCAGATTTTCTTTGTTATTTTCTTTCCAACATTAATATGTTTTTATTCCGGTGGCCGACGTACATCCTCTCACTAGAGGCGGTGTAAACCGGTGTCTATTGATGGATCGATTAGAGCCTCTAGCTACGACTGACTCTAATTAGATTGCTTAGAGGTACATTATTAGAAATTCGGAGTTTTAAATAGAATAACCCTGCCAACGGAAAAAATGGAACAAATTATGGCAAAAAATGAATATAAATCAGCCTCAAGCTGATTATTACAAGCACCAATACTATTGTATTGTAGGAACCTGTTGACAGGTGCTTTTCATAATTTGTCGGTAGAGGGCGCTGTGTATTTAACGGACGTATTGTATAAATGGTTATAAAACCTTTCTTCTCATTTTCATTTCAGGAGGAATCATTACAAAATGACGGAAATATATCAAATATGATAATTTGGAAATCACATCGATGCATTCAAACACTCTGTAGTTCTGGGGAGATTTTGCTTTGATTGGTTGTCTGTATTTCTTTCACCAGGCAGATTTTCTTTGTTATTTTATCTCAGTGTAATATGTTTTATTCTGATGGTTGGCGTCCATCATCGTAGGTGGTGGTGGTGTACATCGATGTTTATTGATTCATTAGAGATTCTAGCAAAAGAGTGGAACAAATTTTGGTGGAAAAATTAATACTAAATCACGTCTATCTCTGAGGTATTATGCGTTATCATTATGTGTATATGTGACTGCAGTTACAAACGCCATAATTCAACACCAATTTAATTAGCGATCTTAATATTGTGGGAAAAGTTGTTTTTTGTTGTATGCTGCTCAAGAAATCTCATTTTCTTTTATTTGAACACAATTCGTGTAAATGAAGGGTTGTACTCGTCGCACGTCCCCATATCGAACGCAACTCATAGACGGAGTGCGACGAATGTGGAGCATTAAGACGCATGTGAGTGAATAGGGCCAGTCTTAGTGCACTTCAATTGCCATTGTCTCCAACGGCAAGAAAACATCTTAAAATTGTCTGAATTGTGGTCGTTGACAGAAGTAATCTTATTAGAGAATTCTTCAATTCATAGAAAACCCCGGGGGGGGGGGGCTACTTGCATAGAGTGCAATACGGGTATGTGCCGCCCGACTGGGGTGTTATTTCTGTTATTTTGTTTAGAAGTGGGTGGTTTGGTTTAGAAGTGTGTAGCATTTACTCACTTTTTCACAGGTCCTTATATTCAAAGCCAAATACCGGAAAAGGCTGAATAAAATGCAACGCCCGGATGCCCCGCTCACTGGTTGCTAAAATTGCGAGCTGGGCGTTTTTTTTTTTTTGTTTTTTTTTTTTTGCTGAAAACACTTGTATTTAAGAAGTGGGTATATAAATAGAAAAAAATGTTCAGAAGTGAGTATGGTTTACGAGAGGTGGGCTGCACACCCTTACCCACTTAATGTGGAAGTAGCCCTCCCCTCCCCGGGGGGGGGGGAGCAAAACATCAAACATACAAACTGCTTGACTGGAGTATATGTAAATTCTTTAACGTTTTGAGTTGTTGCATATTATTTGAACGTTGTTGCCAAGAAAAATACAATTAACACTCAATCCGTATGCTCTTAATTGATGCCGAAGTAAGTAATTATATATATATAAATTCCGTTCAGACATCACATTGCCTTACACGTGCGATAATAAAATGCAAAATTGTCGAGACTTGTTATAGCGCCACCAATATTTAAAGCAAACAAGATGGCGGCCCGTTTGATATTGCAATGTGATTGGAGCGATGCCCTCAAGTAGGATATGATTGTTGTTTTTATTTAGCGTTTACACGTGTTGAGTGATTTCTTGTTATTGAAATAATATTCTAATGTCTGGTCGTTACATTTTATAGGCAGGCAGAGGGTCGTGCCTGGATCTCTTGCAGTAAAATCGGTGAGTTCTGTCGTGAACCGGCCCCTGGGGGACCGGCACTCCGACACAATTGCAACTGTCAACAACAGTACATTTATATATTTCTTTCATTGTATTCATATTGTTCGTTTTTTGTTTGTTTGTTTGTTTCACAGTTGAATTTGACTTAAAAACGTGAAAAGCAGAGCTATTTTACACATAGAGCCTATAAGTAAAGTGACCAAAATTTTTAAAATTAAAAAAGAGTGATTTGTCTAATTTTTAGAACTGAATGGTAAACAGCATCATCAACAGATGTTGAAAGTTTGAAAGGTGAAGTCGATTCAACTTTAATATCATAAAAGTTGACCCTGCTGAATACTCTTTATAAATGTCAGTCCACCATTCCAAGGTGGACTGTTCTTGTATTCTCTAAGACAAGCCTACGACTACGTCTCAAACTGGTCAAAATCCCCCAAACATTGCCAGCAACCAATCACAGACTAGCTTAAACAATAGCTTTCCCTGACGATAATATTTAGCAACGTTATTTCCCCCACGCTAACTTGAAAAATCTTTTGTTTTTGTCTCGTTTCCGTTTCCGTCTGTCTTAGAAAATCATATTAAATGAAAGTTGCGATCCGGTCCTAACAAAAAAGTTGTTCGATACAGGATTAAATTTGGATGCCCATGTGAACCTTAACACACCTTAATACAGAATCTAACTGTAGTGTGAAACCTATATTATAGTTAATTTCATAAATGTGGTACACCAAGCACAGTCATTTTGATAGTCTTGCTTATTTTGAACTCGAGAGTTAACTTGTCTTATAAGATTACTGTATTTACTTTATTAGAAGTACATTCATTTACGTATGTATGTGTCTGGTCAAAATAAATCATATTTTAATAATCCAGTTTACGATAGAATAGAATTAATACCGTAAAGATAATGTGACTTTTTTTTTTTGGTTAACAAATTAATAAAGTTTTTACATAGTTGAGTGATCATAAAACAATATGTAAGAAAATGGCATATGTAGTTTATAACATATTCCTTATATAAGCAATTGTTGGCAGCTATTGGAGATGCACTTTTAACAGAGTGAATACCTTGTATGTACATTGTGTTTTTTTTGTATAACAAAAAAATTTGTCACCATGTAACAAAACGCTTATTATATATGGGACTACGTTTCAGTGAGTCAGGGATTTAATTACATGTATGTTGACACTGTCGGCAGCAGCTGATCAATGACTGACTACCTTAAGGTACTTGTCATTAATTAAATCTTATAACCAAATTTTCTTGGCTTTATTTTATAGTATTGCTCACAAAATCCTGTTAAAAAATGGTGATTTTTGAGCTATTTGTTTTGGCTATGCATTTTGGGTACATATGACGAAAGAATCACATGTAGTTAAGATTGGTACTCATTATTGATCCAACTTAAGATGGATTCTTATGAAAAATAATTCCTATAAAAAATTGTGTTCAATTTGTTTATTATGTTGAATGCCTTGTTTAAAGGCGTGAGTCAGTCAACCTGGTGGATATTCTTTGATATTGGTGGTACACGTGTATTACCTATTTGTCTGATTGATTTTGTTTGCAAAATCCCCACACGTATACAACTTATATTTGTAATTATGGCATAGAATCACTGCTGTAATATTTATAGTCAAATCTATCCAATTTAAGGCTATGTAGTAACCTAAAACAAATTGACAAGGATTTGGGGAAGCTGTTATTAACAGCTTCATGTAGACTTGAATTAATCTCCATTTTTGGTGGTCATTATAAACCATACATTGGTCTTTGGAAGGAAAGTCCACAATTGAAAAGTTTTATTTACATTCTGAAAATATGTTGATCTGAAACTTGCACTACATGTACCTAACAAAGCCCAGCTAAACATTGCAAATCTCATGACACATCTCACTTTTTACATTTTACTAACTGTTTTGAAAAAACAAAAGCATGTTGATGTCATTTGCATCCAGAAACACAGAGTGATGATGTCACTTACATCCAGACACACAGAATGATGATGTCACTTTCATCCAGACACACAGAATAATGATGTTATTTTCATCCAGACGCACAGAATTATGTCACTTGCATCCAGACACATAATGATGATTTCACTTGCATCCAGACACACAGAATGATGACATCACTTTGTACTGAGACACAGCATGATGACATCACTTTGTACTGAAACACAGAATGATGACATCACTTTGTACTGAAACACAGAATGATGACATCACTTTCTACTGAAACACAGAATGATGACATCACTTTGTACTGAGACACAGACTGATGACATCACTTTGTACTGAGACACAGAATGATGATATCACTTGCACACAGACACAGAATGATGACATCACTTTGTACTGAGGCACAGAATGATGACATCACTTTGTACTGAGACACAGAATGATGATATCACTTGCACACAGATACAGAATGATGACATCACTTTGTACTGAGACACAGAATGATGACATCACTTTGTATTGAGACACAGAATGGCAAATGTTGTGCCTCTGTTTATATTTTTAGGATATACAAATAATTGAGCATATGTTGCTTAGGAGATAAATAACATATTAATTTTTTTACTAGTAACACAATACCACTCTGCTTTTTTAGATTGTCCCACAGTTCATGGTGAATTGAAATCACATGGGTTGAACAGTAATGGTATTCCACATGTAGTACCCACAGAAGGATTTACAGTTGACAAGATTACAAAGGTACTTCATTTATTTACCCATGGCAATCATTGCCTATCACACCATAAACAAGGTATTTCTGTACCGCTAAATCACATGACTCAACTAAAGTTTCAGGTTTTACCAAAATCACAGAAGTGATGAAAGAATCAATGGTTGTATATTGGGTATGCTATTTGAACTATTCAATCATCTACAACTTGTCTCCGTTTCCATGCCGATCACTTCATATGTACTCATGCGTGTTTTGTGAGCAGATCAATATGGCCAGCTGACAGCCATTCTGTTTTATGAAAAAACCTGTACATGTATGTTGTGCAGAATCTAAAAGACATGTACCGATGCAGCAGATTTGATTGAAGTGTGTTTCACATGAAAAGGTGCAGCAAAAAGAGTTAAATTTCAACAAAATAAGAAAAAACTTTAGTTAAAACAAAAAAGAAAAAACAATTTAGTGACTGCCATTTTGCATTTATAACTTAACATTATAGCAACACCTTTGAAGATGTCTATATAATTTGGTGATGTTATATTTATTTTATGTGACATTTTTAAGAGATTTTATATAAGTATTGAACTTTTATTTATTGAATTCTTAGCAGTGATATTTGCAAATCAAATGTAAATATTTTATTGTTTACAGAGGTCAATAACAGTTTCCTATCCAGATGCTAATATCACTACTAAGTTTGTGATGCCGTTAACAGCATTTTCTGCAATCCACAAAAAAAG